AGCTGTTCATGGACTGTTGGCACTGAGGGAACTGATCACTGCTCATCAACACCAAATTCTTTAAAAACAAAGAAAACACTGAAAAGGGCTCCTAAGAAAGATGACCTCTATTTTCAGAGCTGCTGTTTTTCTCTTCAGTTCTCTGGTTTGCTCCCTGCCGTCATTTTTTCTGACATTCCCTTAAGTGACATCTTTGCTTTCTTTGAGAAATGAAGACATGAGTTACCATCACAGTTTCCTCCAGTGTAAACTCTGGGATGATTTGCAATATACTTTGATGTACTTGATGCAACATAAAGGAAACCTTTTATTTTCCTGGCATGTTACCTTGAAGGAAATCACAAACACTCCCTCTGTTTCGTTCCCAAACTGCCTGATGGCATCTTCATCTTCTGTTACCATAACAACTGGCATCTGCCCCAAGCAGTGGTTGTAATACCAGGCTGCTGCATTGTAAATATTCCTAGAAAAGCAAAGTTTGAAATAACTTTTCTGGCATAGCTCATTTGCTACTCGCAAGACTTTTGCTGGCTTTGTATAAAGGAGATTTTGGTTTAACGCACAGACTTTTGAGAGATACACCCAAGCTACACAAACCTTTTACCTGCAAAAATGTTTATGTGTTTATAAGCCCCAGGAGAAGAGAGGAAAATAGGATGTTTCCTCCCCAGTTCATCCACTTGTGCCCTGGCTGCAACACAACATATTGTTCCACTGAGTGGAAGTTTGTAAAAAGCAAGGGGAGCTGCCAAGACTCCAGTGCTGGGGTGTAACTTTAAAATGATCCAGCTTTTTTTTAGCATTATTGCATTTAATTCAGTGTATTTTGTCTGTTTTCCTAAGAAAACAATGTTGACACTCTCTTAATCCTTAAAGCACGATCTAGACTTTCAGTGACTGTGAACTGCTCCAAAGCCAAGCAGAGCAAGGGCATGAACTCTCAGTGCCCAATGCTCATTTTCCTAAATACAAAGCCATGATCCTGCCCAGTGTGGCACTACAGAGGTTAAACCAGACCTGGTCTGCCATTTCTCCATGGATTCTCCCTTCTCTCTTGGCAAATAGCAGTGCTGGTGGAATTCATTGGCAAACACTGTACAGTCGTGACGGGGATCCTTCAACAGATTTCGTAACTTGTTGTACTGTCTGGAATACAAAAGACATAAATATACTTTTGTGCTTTCTTTTGATAATGCTGTTCTAACTCCAGGTGAAAATACAGCTGAAGAACTCAAGGCAAATTACTGTCATGCACAAAGAAATGCATTCATCAAATCACACCACTGATGACAAAACCTAAACCACCACCTGCAAGCAAGCTTTCCTAACTTCCATTGGGAATGCTTCTGATCCTAAACATATGATTTTAAACACTCTGATTTAATTTTCAACATGTTTAAGTTTAAACATTCTGATTTTAACATATTTGTTTTCCAATGAGCCCCACAAAACATCCTAAGTGTTCAGAAGCTTATTTTGTCACTTTGGGACAAGGGCTATTCCTGCAAAAGCATTTGTGCTTCAGAAATACAGGAAGGCCTTGGGAGCAAATTTTACTCTACAATGCCATGGAGATACACAGGTTAATGTCTGGTAAGTGCCACAGAATTGTACTAATTGCTCCCCAAAGACAAGTGCTCAGTCCTTAACAGAGCAAACCCAAACCTGTCCATAATCCAGTTGTGGCACATGACACATCATTACTGCAAAGTCTCATTAATTCCTGTCACAAACCATCAGATTAATTAATAATGTTACAGGTTTAATATCGCTCCCATCAAGTGAAAACTATGCCAGGCCTTGTTGCCCATGGATCACAAAGGACCTCAGTTCTTCCCCTTCTTTAAAATTATATTCAGACACTTGGAAGACCTAAAACCAAACGATACGTTTTACAAAGTGACTATTTTTACTTCAATCTAAATAAAAAATAAGGTTTTATGGGAGAAGTACCTGCGTCCTTTTTGATGCTGCACAGCCTGACAGGCCGTTTGCATGAAAATAATTCCTTTCAGCTCCGGAAACTCCAGAATCTCCAGGTACTCCTGCACAACTTTGCAGTCGGGGACAACGTAGTGTGTGACGTCATCCGAGAGCAATTTGCCATCTGAAATATAACCCAGAGTTTAAAGGCTTAAACTGTCACTTCTAACATTGGTTCAGACATAGGGAATTCGAGTTGTGTGTCCTCCAAGATGTACATCTCTCTTCTTCTGCTGAACAAAATTATGGCTACCATGGTACACGTCTGTGGTCAAGTCTCTAAACTTATGACAGAACCCTTTTTGCATCCACTGATGCCAAAATTTAGTGTAAATTCTATCCAAAGGAGTGAAAAAGAGGCAGTTTCATTATGAAAAGCCTGTAACTTAAAGAGTGCAGGTAACAGTCCTTTTTTCTCTGCTTCCACGTGAAAGAGGGACTACACATCTGGCAGAGAAAATCTTTTAATGGAGTTTTCAAGGGGTGTACAATCATGGGCAGTTCTGTTATGCTGCTCCCACAGCTCTCTCTGTTAACAATACCCATTTACAGCAGGCTTTTTTGATATATCTTTATACAAAAGAGCACAGGTAAGGGTACACATGGAGAAAAGCAATGCTACTGCTAAGAGATGTTCTTGAACCCAAACTATTAACCATAATTGCTAATTTTCTCTAAAGAGACTCCTTCCCTTAGGAATAAACCATCAAAATACCACAGCCAGTCTACCACAGATGACACCTTAAAATGCACCTTAAAATTAATGAGTTTAATTGTTTTTTGGTATTTCAAAGATTACCCAATAAACTTTTGGATGGGGGGGATCTCCACTGTATTTTCTCTCGGTATCCATTTAACCCTCATGGTATTTATAAACACTGAATTGCTGAGCTCACCAGAGCACAGGCAAATAATATATAACAAAAGTATACAGACCTTGACAAGTCATGCTATTTTCATGTCTTTTTTAGAAGCTGACCCAGGACAATCTGTCAGTGAACTGTGATCACTGGAAGTGTGGATCCAGTCAGCACAATTTTAATTTGGCTTCATCTCTCACTGAAGGATTATAATGGATGATGGCAGAATGCATACAAGAAAGCTAATATTTATTAATAATTCAGAAGAGCATTAAAAGTGAAATGTCACTGGAAGATTTATGTAATCTGCCTACACTGAGCTATCCTTGCCTAACCTATACATCCAGAACAGAATAACTTCTGAGCAGGCACAGCTCACCCTTACAAGCACCTGCAGGTGTGATTAATTCAGGCAGTCCCTCACAGTGCAGGAAATAAATTTGCTCAGCACACTGTGCAAAGTCAGGAGTGAAAACAAACGTTCCCCTCACCTCTGGGTTACCTTGAATAATTACAAAGGGACACATTCTGACAGTCACCTACAGCACAATTTACACTGAAGTGCAGAAGAGGGGAAGTTTGGCACGGCAGGAGAGGTAAGACTTTTTTTCTGGTATGTGTTTTTAACTTATCCTTAGGGAATTCAAAACCAAATGCAATATATTGGGGAGCAGTAACTATCACTAGGCCTGACATCCTATGTAATATACTGCAATAACATAAGTAATATATCTGCCCTCGATTGCAACAGACACCTCAATCAAAAGTGACAACATCTATGTCGGTGACAGTTCCAAAGAATTAAAATTCTCAACCTCTTCTTTTAGGCAAGCAAATAATTTGGTCTATTGAAACAGGCTGTATGTTAATGTTTAATTGTGCTGTTTAACACCAACAAAAAACCAGACTGAAATATCAACCCAAGCCCAGGTGATGATCTATGATGCACATAAACAGCACCACAGTCTGTAAAAACAACAACAAATGCAGACATCAGAGCCTGGCAGCCTTCCCGTGTCTGAAATGCCCTGATATAACACAGGCAATTACATTTAATTACTGAACAGAAAGAACTGCTGATGCAGAATTACAGTCGCTTCAAGATAATGGCTTGGCCCCATTGTTGTACTTAACAGGTATGTATAGAATTTAATGCATGCTATAAACCACCACCCTGCAGAAATTAATGCCTTTTTTAAGGATCTTTTAAAACACGGGGAGTGTAAAAATTGAACAATCCTTCAGCCCTTTTATCACTGCCTGTAAACTGCTCTCAGTTAAACCCTGTAACAACCAACTCCACGATTCCTTTCTCTCTTAACGCCTCGCTGCTTTCCGAAGGATCTTGCTTTGGAGGGAAACTTTTGCTACAGCCGCGATTTGGGACTGTTTGGTTTTTCCAGGGTGGTTCAGCACCGTCCGAACCTCAGCAGGGGAATCACCCCCGCTCTGGGATCACTCCTGCTCAGGGATCGATCCCTGCTCAGGGATCAACTCCAGCCCTGGGATCAGCTCCTGCCCTGGGATCGACCCCCTCCCTCAGGGATCACCCCTTGCCCAGGGATCACTCCTGTTCAGGGATCACCCCCCGCTCAGGTATCACCCCAGCCCGGGGATCACTCCCACTCAGGGATCACCTCAGCTCTGGGATCACCCCTGCTCTGGGATCGCCCCCTCCCTCAGGGATCACCCCGCTCTGGAATCACCCCACCCCGGGGATCGATCCTGCTCAGGGATTATCCCCGCTCAGGGCTCACCCTTTGTGCCCAGCTCTGCCCCCTCCCCGGCTCCCCCCGCGGTCGCTCCCGGCCGTGCCCGCCCTCACTCCCGGTCCCCCCGCGCAGCCCCGGCCCGCGGCCGCCCCTCACTCACCGCGGGCGCGGCACAGGGCGCTGCGGCACAGCGCGGTCCGGCACGGCACGTCCGCCCGCAGGTAGTGCTCCCGCACCACCCGCACGGCGCGGCCCTGCTGCCCCCGCAGCTGCAGCACCTTCTCCGTGCGGAGCATCGGGACCGGCGGGGAATGGAGGGGGCCGGGGGGGGAAAACAGCGACCGGCGGGGACGGCAGGGGAACAACAAGGACCGACATGGACCGGCGGCCCCGAGGCCGCGACTGCCGGGGCGCCTGCGCGGGGCGGGGCGCGGGGTCACCGCGCGGGGAACGGCCCCGCCGAGGGGCGGGCTGAGGGAACCGGGGAGCTCTGAGGGACTGCGGGGAACGAGCTGAGGGACAGGCGGGACGGGTGAAGACGAGCTGAGGGAACCGGGGAGCTCTGAGGGACTGCGGGGAACGAGCTGAGGGACAGGCGGGACGGGTGAAGACGAGCTGAGGGAACCGGGGAGCTCTGAGGGACTGCGGGGAACGAGCTGAGGGAACTGGAACTTGAGCTGAGGGACAGGGAAGGAACGAGCTGAGGGAACTGGAACTTGAATTGAGGGACAGGGAGGGAAGGAGCTGAGGGAACCGCAAAGGCCGGTCTGGGGCGGACTGAGGGAACCGGGAGAGCTCTGAGGGACAGGGGGGAACGAGCTGAGGGCACCGGGGCGGCTCTGAGGGGTCGGTGCCAGGTGAGGGCTGAGGGGAAGCCCGGCCAATGCAGGTGCTGAGCCCCAGCTCGTGTGGGTGGGCGAGCAGAGAGGACCGATACCCTTCCAGTGAGGGAAAACGGAGAGATTTTGGGGGGACAGTGGAGAAAATGCTGGAAAAGTAGTTGGAGTGTCCACGGGAGGCAAAAGAGAAGAAACGCTTAAACTCTGTTAGGCTGCAGTGGCAGGAGGATGGGGTGGTTGTGGTGAAGATACATGTGGAGTTTTTCTGTTTGCTTTTAGGTTTCTCACTCCAAGGACAGTGATGTGGAGGTATTGGAGGCACTGGAGGGTTGAAAAGGATGCAGGGAAGAACAAGAACAAATCGAGGATCCTTGCTGTGCCTAGGCTCTAGACCTGCTTAAGTGCATATGTGTGACCCTCCATGGTTTTCCTGGCGTCTTCCAGGAGAGATCCCACGTCCATTCCTCAGTCCTGATTTTGTGAGATCACCTGCAGCACTCAGGGAGTTGAGGTGGGGATCAAGGCAAGGGGGTGTGAGAACTGCAACCCAAATGCCAACTAATTTTACAATGGGCACCAATATTGCCCCTCACGTTTACAGCAGGGGGGAAATAAAGGCACTGACAGATTAAATCTAGTCCAAGATGAAACAGAAAAGCAGTGGAAGGTCATGAGTCCAATGCACTGTCTCTGGGTCTGAGTCACTGCTCTGTGAATAAGGCTGCAATGCTGAAAATACGGCATTTTGGGGATGATTATTTTGACTATTAGAAAAGCATTCCTACTTTCCCACCAAGTGCCTCCATCATAACCTCACTTGAACATAAATACATGGTGTGAGCTGTGTAGTGTTTGTCCTTAGGAGGAAAAAAAAAAACTGGGAAAGAGCCAAGGCAGTATGTCACTGTATGTTCCTGTTTATTCCACTTCTTATTTTTCACATGTTTTATAAAATGTGTATCTGCAGTGACTAATGCTTCCAAGTAACCAATTGGTGCCAGTAAATGGAAGCACCATCTGTAAGGAACTGATTTGCAGAAGCCAAGTTCTCAAACATCTGAGGAGGAGGAGGTGTTATAACTTAGTGAGAGACGACCAAAGTGTAGACTTGGGCTTGGTAGTCAGGATGATTTTAGATGTATTATGTAAGTAGGATGTGAGAGGAAAGGGGAAATGGAGACCAAATGATGGAGCTCTTGTTCAGTAGGAACAAAGATGAAGTAACCCGTGGTGAGAGAAAGGGTAAGAAAAACACAACATTTGGGAGAAAAGACATTTAATTGAGTCTGAAATGTAGAGGGTGCTGAGTGCTGACACAGTGAGGAACACAGACCAGTGTGCTTACTCACTGACATTCAGTGACTGCAATAAAGTGAAGGTTAATTAAAGAAAAGTAGCTGAGATCACTGCTCTCATTTGCTCACTGTTTCACAGAGGAAAATGGAAGGCCTTTGGGCCAAGTTCCTGCCTTGCTGGTACTGTCAAGTAGCTACTTATGTGTTTCTGACATCCTACCCAGAACAATTTTAACCTTCTCAGTTTCCACCTTCCTTCCTCTTTTGGAGAGCAAGCTCCTGTGATTGCAAAAGGCAAAGCTGGAGTCACTGAAGCCAAAGAGAACTCTTGGCACTTTATGTAACAACTGAGTTTGCCCCTGTGAGATCAGAGATGAACTTTCGTGCTCATCTGGTAACCAGCTTTATACAGGGCAAGAAGTTTGTGCAGGAACAGCCCAAACTAACAGGATAACAAGGGCAGTTTTAGTAGTTTTAAAAGAAAAGTTTCAAAAGTGTTTGAGTATCAGCATTAGAAGATCTCAAATGTTGAAGCAGGAAGGTGCAGTGCAGTGTGGCTGCAGAATGATGGGACATCCGCTTCTTCACGCTCTCTTTACAAAGAGCTTTGTGAAGAAAAAAACCTCATGGTAGAATAGCAAGAAACGGTACAAATATTATTTTTATAGAGTATTTCTCACCTCATACAGCACTCTTTGGATAACACCAGAGAGGGCTAGAGCAGCTTTTATTTTAAATGAGCAAGAGAAGCCTTTAAAGTTCAGTTGTGCTTCCTAGAATGGGAAGTTTGAGCCTCTCAGGAGCAATCCCTGCTTGGAAAACCATGTCAGGAGGTGCAGTTCAGAATTTCAGTGTGTTTCCTTTGGATAGAAGTTGCTCCATGTTTTGGCAAAGAACCTTGAGGTCATTGGAGAATCCCAGAGTTTGGCTCATGTTTGCCAAGCCTGATGCCCAACTCCTCTGGCAAATGCCACGAACAAGAGGCAGAGTGTTAGTGTGGGATCCACCCAGTCATGGAATCAACAGAAATCACATCTTTGTGGTGTGAAGGAGGCCTTTTGATTTTTTTTTTCCCTTCCAAGTATTCCATCACTGAGGGAGAGGATGCAAGATTTGATTATCTTACAGCAGGTTTTTGAAGTAGGTTCTTCCATTCTTAAAGCAGTTGTGGAGCAATTGGCAATTCAGCAGCATCTCCTTCCAACTCACACTAAACTGGATAAATGCTGTCTTTCCTCTTGGAGATCCCTTCTCCTGGATTGCTGGCTCTGTAAAAGTGTTGTAAAAAGAGTGCCCACATCTAAAATGTTCTCAGGATTAATGTGTCGTTCCTTGCACTCATAAAAGAGAAAGATATCAAGTTATTTTAACAATATCTGTTTTCTGTAGCCCTGTGTTCACTGGCATTAATTATGTCACCCCCCTTCAATTATTTTTGTCAGCACCCATATTAATTAGACTTTGCACTTCGATGATGATCTCTTTTATTCCTTAAAATCATTTATATAGCGTTACAGAGTACATGCTAATGTTCTTTTTATTTTAGCGACAAGAAAAGGATTTCGCATTCGCGCGTTGCTGGGCTTTGGAATTTTCTCCCTGGATTTCAGTTCGTTTTTCGCGTTTGCAATACCAGGTACGACCACTGGGAGACGCTATTTAATCGAGTTTGGGTCGAAACGGAACCTTTTGCTTCCCTGCCCGTGTCTAACGGGCTAAAATTCCGCCTTTGAGCTTCCCTGAACAAACTGCTTGGAGTTGCTTCTAACGTAACTCCACAATTTTCTCCACAAAATAAACTAGAAACTGATGCTGTTCTATGACAATAATAAAAACAAGGCTTGCAGAGCTCTTCAAGCATGTCAGGAATATGAAACTCCCCCATGTTTACAATTATTGGAAGCATAAAAGTAATTTATCACAATACCTGGTATTTACTGTGATATGCATTTGATTTTCTTCCCACCACCCTTTTCCTCCGTGGATGCAGCTCAAAACTTTACAGCAATGAAATCAAAGTTGTGTGCTCTTTTGTTTCACTTAATTTTCTGTTACTTTACTTAGTTTATGCCAGGATTTTCACTATATTTAGTGCTGAGAGATCTCAAATATTATTTATAGGAAAAAAAAGCCTTTCTAGTGCCATCATTAGAATGTTAAACCTTATCTTCTCGGGGAGCTTTAGGTTATTTTGAGCTGGTGGATCCCAGAATTCCTGCTTTCATAAAACCTGTTTATATTTGTTCTGCTGGAAGTTATGAAAACAATTTGGATGAAAGGCCAAGGCCACCATATCAATCTTTTTGTCATCCAAATGCCTTTGATTTGGTCAGAGCCTTTACACTGGTGCTCAGAAGTGCCTTGGCCTGCAGGTTCAAAGGACAATGGTTGTTAGAGCTTTTCCAGCCCCTTCCAAATTGGGATTACTCCCTGTGGTATATCCAGCTCAGCTTTGGGGTCAGTGCTGCACAGTGTCACGCTCTGAGCTTTATTTATTTATACACCCCAGTAAATAGAAAACAGAACTGCCAGGGTGCTGTTTTTTAGTCACAGAAACAAGGAGTTTCTGGGAGAAGCTGATTAATTCCCTCCTAAGCTTCTATCACTAGAAACTAAATGGGGTTGACTTGTGGGGACTCTGCTGTTGTGATTTGCTCCACAAATGGGATATAAAAGGTTTTTCCTTGAGAGCTCAGTGATGTATATTGAAGCTAAAGCAAAATATATCTCACTGCATTTCTGGGCTGCACCTGTGCATCTTAGGGCTTTAAATTTTACCAAAAGCCCTTTGAGTAAAGATTTTATGCCTATAAGTGCTCTATCCTCTGGCAAATCATGTTGCCTGGCAGGGCTGAATAAATAACAGGTTACTCTTTTTCTAAAAAAAAAAAAAATATACAAGGGAAAAAAAGGCAAGATTTCAAGATACTTTCTTTTGTCATAATTATTGTCAAGAACTAAGTCAACCAGCAAATAATTCAGGAATATCTAATTGTATATAATAATGATTTACCCTCTGCTGCCCAGTTCTGTTTGTAATGATATTATTTGGGTTTCATTGCTGTGGATGTGAAAACTGACCAGCAGTGAATATTTTTAATTTAGTGGAAAAGTCATAAAATGACATACATGCTGCTAACCACCGTGCAATTGGAGGGTTTCATTTGGCAAATGTTCAAGCTAAAATGTGTTTTTCATGATTATCCCCCTTATTAAAGCTCATTTGCTATTCATGGAAAGTGAGCACAAAAGGGATGTGAACAGTCAAAGAAACCCATTTAAAAATTCAAATGAATATCCAAGGGAAATGGGTTGGAGTGTTTGCCCAGCTCTGCTGGGACTCTCTGCTGCTGAACCTCTTCTCAGTGGGTGCCTTTGTCGTTGTCCTTAAGGCTTCCCTGACAAATCCTGGATGGTTTTGTTACAGCTTCATATTGCAGTCATTATGCAGAATTAGTTCTTGATATGGTGAAAGAGGTTTGTTGGAGTGAGGACGGTGAGAGGGTGTTCAGTTAAAAACTGATTTGTTGTGAGACTGAGTTAAATGGGGTGGGCTCAAAGCAACTCAGGTCTTTGGCCCTTGCTGAGACATTACTTCCAACATTACTTCCAACAGCCTTGCTCATCCCAGCCTCAGGGCTCCAGTTATCCCTCTGTATGTAGGATAAATACCTGGGGATGGGAAGAGGCTGGATCATCATCTGTGTTTATTTTCCACACAGGCTGAGCTCGTGCAAGCTGAGCTGCCCCTTCATTCTTCACTGGCTCCCATGGGAGCAGGGTGTGGATTGAGGGTTCTTTTCCCTCCACTCCTTTCATCCACGAGGTCTAACGGGAGGAAGAGTCAGGTGTCAATAACTGTCCTGTGAGTACCAAGCCACTGATCCAACTGCCAAAGTGCTCCTTGTTACCACCTCACAAAATGGTCCAACATCTCCTCTGGTCACTTTTGGGTCATGGGGAGCAGTGGGATGGGGCAATAACTGTGGCTGAGGTTTCAGATTCCATGGCTGGATGGACACCAGTGTTGTGTTCCCTGTGTCAGCCACACCCTCCATGTGTTGGGTCGTGGAGCAGTTGAGGGCAGGAGGGACTCAGGAGCTTTCCAGACCCTCCTCGTTGAGCAGCTTCACTAGGACCACATCCACCTGGGCTTGGAATATTTTCAAGGATGGAGACTCCACA